TTTTGGAAAACAATAGCCAGTGTGTTTTAATTCGGAAATGATTTGACAGGTGATATGTAGCAGAGTCTCTATGCTATAAACTTCGTTGTAAAATTAATCACGTTCACATTTCGCAACAACATGAATCCCGGCGCGGGCGACCAATTTTTTCCGTACGAATATCCACAATATCCACCAGGATGGATCTATCCTTTGGCAGGCCCTTACATGTTTAATGATCGAGGAAATCCCAGCCCATTTCCTTCGACCACGAGTACTGACTCGTTGCCAGAATCCCTCCAGTTCAGCGAAGATAGCTCAATGCCGGCATCAACCCCATCTTCTTCGCGTCGTGCATCTTCGTCAGCCGAGAACAAGAAGGCTCAGGACAGATTAAAGAAGAGGAGCTGCTTTTAGTTCAACTGTGGGCTGAAATCACAAGGCTCTCACAGCATGGTGTTGTGTTTTGTTCACAGATTTTGTTCTTAAGTGCGACTGTAGCTCTCCGGACAAATTTTTTGTCACTGGCCGATTTCAAGTCGAATTTGTCCAGAACAAATGTAAAATTGCCCTCTAGTGCGACTTGGCCCTAAAACACCTTATGCCAAATTAACTGGGTTGAGTTACAAATGGATCTGCGTATTACATTTACATGTTCAAGCATTCGGCTGTTTAATCACGGTCATATCACTTCAACAAAATTGAAGGGTACATGTCAATAGAAAACTCCCTTTATGGTAGCCAAATAAACCCTTCTCGGGACCAAAATCTGAAGAATAAGAGCAATGATCCTAGCTAACAAGCCAGTCCTTTTTGTTTTGCCAACTGACACTTTTATCAGCTTTTATCATCTCATCTGAAAAACCTTTTGAGATCCCTATTTTGAATGTAAACAACAACAGCTTTCCGAGCCCATAAATTATCAGCAATTTTGTCGAGATACCGGTCCCTGACCATTAAGCAAAGCACGCTTACCCGTTATTCGACCGAGCATCATGCCATGGCCCCGCAAATTTGTCCCAGCGTATCCGGCGATTTGTGCCCCGAGACTAAACCCCACAATGTAGAATCGATCAGCCAAATCAGGAGAACCAGCATTTGTAGAAATCAGGAACTTTATAAGCATAGCTATCTGAGCCCCTACAAGCCTAGTATTTCCAGAGGCTTGCATGTAGGGGAACGAAACCCCTCTGGACCAGTCAACCAAAATGACGTTGCAGTCTTCACGTTTAAGCAGCGCGTCTTTTAGTTTTTTAAGCCAGGAGTTGCCAGCGTAGCCGTCTTGACTTTCTGGAATGAATTGAAGTGGAATAATAAAAGGAAAATATATTGTCTTAACAGTAGACACTCATACAGTTAAGATGACGATTTTGGAAGAAAAGTTCCCAGTGCCGAGAAATACGGCAGCAAGTAAAATAGACAATGGCGTCATTTCGTTGCTATGACAACTCTGATGTCATTAACCTGATCGAGACAAATTTTCACCTTTATCTAACACAGCTGTTGTGGTGATTTTTCCAAATCTTTGTTAATGGCGAAGTAGTTTATGCTCAAAATTTTGGAGATATTGACCCCGAAAAACCCTATCGAGCCACCTTAACGTCCACAAATTGCCCGCTTAAATGTGCAAAAAAACCTTCCTTATTTCTGTTACCATACGCTTTTTAAATATAATTTGATGAGGCAAACGCACTGTCCCACAATTTGATTTACAGGTATGGTGGGTGTATGCCGTTTTGATTATATCGTAACAAGCCACCTTTCCTGGTGGTCCAAGTGCATAAAACAAAATCTTCGTGTCACTGACGAGGCGTAAAAGCCCCCTTCGTGTTAAACCAGTGTACTCCAGAAGCGTGATACGTACACTATAACAAATGCTGAAGTAAGTTTCTCTTCGACTATGGATAGTTAGTCTGGATACGAATTTGGTTTCGAATTTCTGACCGGTTTCGTCTATGCAAAACATCTCCGTTTCTTCAACCAGTTTCTAATTTACCCAAATAGACCTATAGTTACCCCAATAACCATGAACAATCAATATAGTCCTTCTGGCTATGACAAAGTTAGAGCTCTTCAGTTTTTCTTCATCGTTGTCATCAATGACAGTCGGATCTCCTCTGCTGAACCTCGTATATACAGGTAAAACTTAGTCCCAACAGCAGACGGCGGACGGGGAAGCCATACCAACAAATTATTAAAAGGCGGTCGCTGGTCGAAACAGCCGTACTTTTCATAGCAGGCTCCGTCGGCTTAAAGAATAAAAAAGCACGTTCATTTGAAATTTAAAAAGAGAAGAAAATAGCATTAACAAAACCTACCTATAAGTTTGAGATTTTGAAAGTGAGACCACATTATCAACTACATGACGACACTGTCTCGTTAGAAATGGTTTTAGAACAAATAAAATCTATTAATAAGGTTTCAAAAGTTAATTCGGGCCTCATGAGGGGGAATTAATTGGAACTGAAAGCGTAGTTAGCATCTAAGCCGTTAGATCTACTTACTGTTTGATACACCAACCAGGAAACAGACCGCGAGATAAACCAGCATTTTGATAAACCCCTTTTGCCGCTACGGCACAAATCACGTACTCGAACAGCTGAGATGTTAAGCAATCGACTGCACATTTTTTGAAGAAATGGAAGCACACTCAACTTTGCAAACGAAGGGTATATTTCTGTTTTTTCAGCCTCGATGGAGAACGACGGCTTAAAATCAAAAGTTTTGCTTTTAAGTGCTTCTTTTAAATACAAGTTAAGAGTGTAAGCTACATTGACTTCGCGTTAAGTCGGTTCTTCTCCTTCCGAAACGACAGTCGCCAAGTAGAACTTTCATTCTAAATCATTGCTTGCTTTAAGCGCTAATTTAACTTCGATAGTTCAGCCCCCTTCCCCCCACCCCACCCCTCATCAAATAGTGAACTGTGAGTGCACTAGAAGGTCTTCAAAACAACCATTTGAGACTTGGAAGTGCGTCATAGTCATTAGTGAGGCTACTTCAAACTCGTCGGCGTCTAAGCTTTTAGCCACCCGTCCGCGTCATTTCTCTTTCATGATGTCCATGCAACTATCCGCATGTTAAAACAAACTTGCTCAAACTGTCAGATATTAACTAAGAAACCACTGATTAACCTCCTGCACACAACCATGTTCTTGATTCTGTTCATCTACTATGATTGCACACGCAATTATTCTCCTTGAAGGCTTGATGCCAACCTGATGGTTTTTTTTTTCAACTGACAAGTAATGACTGCTGTTTTCCTCTTTCTTCTATGGTTGATAGGACCTTCTATTAATCCCATTAGGCAAGGGATCCAATGCAGTCTTGTATTCTGGATTCCACTCCGCGGACTCCGAGTTCCAGGTACTCTGTACTTGATTCCAGATCTTTGTCACTGGAACTTGGATTCCCGATTTCAATCTTCCGTGGGATTTTGGATTCCAAATCCCAGGATTTCGGGATTCTTTCGCCCCCCGTCCCAAAGAAAAAAATAATAATTTCGTGGATTCCCTAACATGGGGAGATTTGATGTTCAAGGAAGTTTTAAAATGTTTGCGTGCGGACAGAACAAAACACGTTATCGGTCCTATTGAACGGATGTTGATGACCAGTATAGTGCCTGAAGCTATGTAATAGGTACCACTACACTTTATAAAATAACTAAGATAGTATGCGCGCTCTGATTGGCTGAGAGGAGTGTTTGCATGAGAGTATGTAAACACGGTTTTGATATGAGATGTTTTGCTTTTCGCGCTAATCACGCAAGCACGAATTCTGAAAGAGTTTTAGTGATCAATACTCGACAAGTTTACTTTATTTACTCATTCCTTCGTCGGCTGAAACTTGGAAAATCTTTTCAAAGAAGCTGAGTCAACTTTTTTTCGCTTAAGCTGACATTTTAAGCGAGAAAATCCGTATTTTGGACAGTTTCTTTTTGCAAAACAAGAACTGATTACACGTGCAAGACTTCGTGTACAAGATTTTGCCACTGGTAAGAATTTATCTTTTAATCAGTGCCACAACAATCAACCTCTCGTGTTTATATCACGCTATGCAAACACGGAAAACGTTTTCTATTGCTTAAACACTGAGCTAATGACAGTTAATCAGCGAGTACTCACAACAATTGTTTGCCGACGTCCATGAACACAATATGCTTAGCTGACGAAGTTAAGAAACAGCACATATTTATTAATTTGATAGCTGAATTAATATAAGCTTCAAGGGTAAGGATATTATTCAGATTGGCTCCTAAATGACAACTGGAAAATGAATAACCTTATTGCTTGTTTCCAGTGTCACGCCATTCAAAATAGATCAAAATAAAAATCAAAACCGTTCGATAGATAAAGTCCGGAATCTGGGAAATGAAAGGAGGTAAATATACAAAGACTCTCGCCAAGATTCAGGTCATAAGAACATTCCGTATACGAGATATCAGGAGAAATGTTTTACCCAAATTTATAGCAGAGCTCTCGCGCGCGCGAAGCGCGCGCCAGCGGAGCACAATGAGTAAGTAAATCTACCCATCCCAGAAAATTTGGTAATCACGTGACAGTAAACCGACATCCCGCCCGCCGACTATCCGTCCGCACCACAGGCATACCAATGTAAAATAACTCAATCAACAGGTATGGCAACCCAAATGCAACTCGAGGTTATTTTGGCGGGAAATCGCGGAAATATTCGAGAAAATGTCGATCCAAATTCCGACGAAATCATTCGCGCTCCGCCAGTCGAGGAGTTGAAAGACACCTTTTTGGAATCACTAAATTAGCTAGACAAATCGCATACCGGTGGTGACAACATGAGAAATGCTAGCGACCACCAATGCAGGGTGAAAACGAGCGGCAGTGAAAAAAAAGTGAACAAGGACAGGTACGACCTTTCCTCCAAAAAACGTGTAACTAAGAAGTTTCTGGAAGTTTCACGTTGTAGTCGTCCAAACCAACGGCAAAGAAATGTACAAAAAAAGTGTGCTGCACGTGCCAAGTTGCTTTTTTGCTAATTAGACCTATTGCTGTTTTTTCACCGTTCTCGTTGCCTCCGCTGCTTAGCATTACACGATTTTATATTTTGTTTGAACAAAGTTTAAATATTATCGAAAGCTTCGCTTGAAGCCCTGGCTAAATCTATATACTAGAGATTTGTATGGAGACGCCATGCTGGTGCCCACCTGGATGGGCACCAACATGGCGGACGGAAACCAAAAACATCTGTTACAGAGTTTTGGTACAAAAGTGTGAATTAATTCCTCGAGGAACTCATAAACATTAAAGTAATACTTTTCCTACTCCGTGAACTGTTTAGATAGCAAAATTCCCCGAAATACATCACTTTTTTAAATTACCTGACAGCTCTCTCGGCCGTCATGTAAATGCCACGTCACGCAAACGTTTAAAAATTCAAGCGTACTCTATCACAAAACCAAGAACCCTTTTGAAGCGAAAATATGTATGAAAATTAGTTTCAACTGCTCTAATCCATCATGAAAGTAAAATCTCAGTAGTATCGATAGTTTTGTAGTTTGAATTTTAGTGACGTCATTAGACTTGCCTACAACTCGAGCTCAATTTTTTTTCACGAGCGCGAAGCGCGAGCAGTAGATGTCTTATGTTTTCTGTGGCAAAAGCGAAAGAGAGAGCGAGATCCCGACTTGTTTCCCCTGCAAAAAATCGCATCAAGTGACCTCATTTTGGCGCGAACTATTTGCGTCCCTGTCGCGTCTATTGTCGCGTTCTCTCAAAGTATGTCAAAACAAACAAATAACGGAAAAAATTCCGATATAAAGAGAAAGTAGATAAAGTAAATAAAGGAACGTTCAATACAAAGAAAGCGTAATGAGCAAAAGTGCAGCCTCGTGATATTTGTCAGTTCAGTCTCCAGACGTTTCGGGTTCGTTGCAAGGTTTGCATACGCCATAAAAAAAAAAAAAACAAAAAACTAAAAACTTTGCGCCCGCTCAACGAAACAAAACAAGTCGGTGGTGTTTTTTAGCTCCTTGGCTGCCAGGAAAATCCGACCTTGGTAAAGTACTTAAATGGAGGAAGTTAAAATGCCCACTAAAGCTTTGTATTTGAATGTAATCGAAATACAGTCCGCAAAAAATGCACAGTTGGATCAAAACACGAGTTCAAACGAACGAACATATTTTCCCTGATGAAGGCAGCATTGCCGAAATGTCGCAGTTTTATTTGCAGTTATCAGCGTTTAACTTACCACCTTCCCACTTTTAACACACACAAACCCTACACAGGAACCCCCTTGATTTTGGTTCAAAACAGTTCAAGTCACGTTTTATGTGGCGTGATCGGGTTTTGATTGAAGGTGCATCAATAAAACCGTTCGTGATTGGATAAAACCTACAGGAGGAAAATTCCTCCCGTAAATTTGGCGCGCTGCAGGAGATAAAAGTCCTTCGCGGTAGGGCCAACTACCGGAACCGGAAGTGGGAAGCGAAGGTTTTTGAAAAAGTCTATGACGTCACGTGAAAACAAATAATATTTCTGCTAAACTCTGATAAGTTTATATGACTGGCGTCATTTGATGACGCATTTGCAATCTTACCTCACCTCGAAAGCGTTTACTTGAGACACAGGTTTGAACAACCATGGCAATTTTGGTACGAACATGTTGCAACGGATATGAAGACACTTTAAAACAGGCATTTCTTTTGGAGTGGTGAGTACTCTGTTAACAAATGATCGAAATCACTCCAGCAATCGCAAAGTGTTCTAAAAACGCGAGTTTTGCTTACACATAAAGTTTGGTTCTCAAATGCCGCCATTATCTACTTGCGACATAGCCGCTTGTTCTGCCTGTTTCATTCGCACATATGAGAAAATCAGCCACTGGCAACAAGAAACATCACAGGACTTGAACTCGAAACAATTTCGCAGGCATGGTGGAAGCGGTAAAGACTGCATTGATGGCTTCTGTCGCCTCATATTGAAGGACGGCTATATCGCAGGTAACTCGGCAGCATACAGGAACTTTAATCAGGACTATACTCCGTTGCGTTAAACAATTTCGTCAGCCGCATAATTCTGCATGTGATAACTTAAGGGGTTAAACATGCATGAGCGCCAAAAACTGAAGTGAATTCAGGCGCCAGAGCGGAATTCAGCCCGCAAGATTCACCGACAGTTCCAAAGGGGTACAATGGAGTTGCGGTTTTTATCGTTATTTTAATTTCTAATTAAAACTTTTTATCTGTGGTTGTTTTCACATGAAGT